GAGAAAGTTCTGGGAAATCTTCTGGGGAACATTCTAGAGAAACTTCAGGAGAAAATTCTGGAGAAGGTTTGGGAAAGGTTCTGGAGAAGGTGCTAAAGGCCTGGAGAACCTTCTAGAGAAAGTTCTGGAGAAAGTTCTGGAGAAAATTTTGGAAACCTCCTGGGGAACCTCCTGAGGAACCTTCTGGGAACCTCCTGGGAACCTCCTGGAGAACGTTTTAGAGAAGCTTCTGGGGAACTTTATGAGGAACCTTCTGGAGAACCTTTGGGAGAAAGATTGGGAAAGTTTCTGGAGAAGTTTCTGGTGAAGTTTCTTGTGAAGGTTCTTGAGAAGGTCTAAAGGGCTGGGGAACGTTCTAGAGAAACTTCTGAGGAACCTCCTGGAGAACCTTCTGGGGAACTTTTTGGGAAATTCCTGGAGAAAGTTCTGGAGAAAGTTTGGGAACTTCCTGAGGAACCTCCTGGAGAACCTTTGGGAGAAGCTCCGGGAAAGGTTCTGGAGAAGGTTCTGGAGAACTTCCAGCCATGGTGGCCGTGATCTTCTCGGTTGTGGAATTTATGGGAATTTCTCGTTCCTGGCTGGAATTTTTTGGGAATTTTGGGGTTTTTTGGCTGAAATTTTGGGTTTTTTTCCCAGAATTCCCGGATAATTCCCGGATAATCCCGGATAATCCCGGATAATTCCGGATATTCCCATTTTTCCTGTCCCAGCCGTGGTGGCCGTGATCTTCTCGGTTGTGGAATTTATGGGAATTTCTCGTTCCTGGCTGGAATTTTTTGGGAATTTTGGGGTTTTTTTGGCTGAAATTTTGGGTTTTTTTCCCAGAATTCCCGGATAATCCCGGATAATTCCGGGATAATCCCAGGATAATCCCGGATATTCCCGTTTTTCCCCCTGTCCCAGGCATGGTGGACGTGATCTCCTCAGTTGTGGAATTTATGGGAATTTCTCGTTCCTGGCTGGAATTTTGTGGGAATTTTGGGGTTTTTTGGCTGAAATTTTGGGTTTTTTTGGCTGAAATTTTGGGTTTTTTTCCCAGAATTCCCGGATAATTCCGGATAATCCCGGATATTCCCGTTTTTCCCCCTGTCCCAGCCATGGTGGCCGTGATCTTCTCGGTTGTGGAATTTATGGGAATTTCTCGTTCCTGGCTGGATTTTTGTGGGAATTTTGGGTTTTTTTGGCTGGAATTTTGGGTTTTTTTCCCAGAATTCCCGGATAATCCCGGATAATCCGGGATAATCCCGTTTTTCCCCCTGTCCCAGCCATGGTGGCCGTGATCTTCTCAGTTGTGGAATTTATGGGAATTTCTCATTCCTGGCTGGAATTTTTTGGGAATTTTGGGTTTTTTTGGCTGAAATTTTGGGTTTTTTTCCCAGAATTCCTGGATAATCCCGGATAATTCCGGGATAATCCCGGATAATTCCGGATATTCCCGTTTTTCCCATCCCAACCATGGTGGCCGTGATCTTCTTGGTTGTGGAATTTATGGGAATTTCTCGTTCCTGGTTGGAATTTTGGGTTTTTTTGGCTGAAATTTTGGGTTTTTTTCCCAGAATTCCCGGATAATTTGGAATAATCCCGGATAATCCGGGATAATCCCGTTTTTCCCCCATCCCAGGCATGGTGGACGTGATCTTCGCCGACGTGGCGCAGCCGGACCAGACGCGCATCGTGGCGCTCAACGCGCATCACTTCCTGCGCTGCGGCGGCCATTTCCTCATCTCCATCAAGGTGCGACCCGCACAAACCGCTTCCGGCCGGTTCCGACCAGTTCAGACCAGCACGGGCCAGTTCAGACCAGTATAAACCAGTACGGACCAGTTCAGACCAGTGTAAACCAGCACGGGCCAGTTCAGACCAGTATAAACCAGTACAGACCAGTTCAGACCAGTTCAGACCAGTACGGACCAGTTCAGACCAGTATAAACCAGTACGGGCCAGTTCAGACCAGTATAAACCAGTTCCAACCGGTTCAGACCAGTTCAGACCAGTATAAACCAGTTCAGACCAGTATAAACCAGTTCAGACCAGTATAAACCAGTACAGACCAGTATAAACCAGTACAGACCAGTTCAGACCAGTATAAACCAGTTCCAACCGGTTCAGACCAGTACAGACCAGCATAAACCAGTACAGACCAGTTCAGACCAGTATAAACCAGTTCCAACCGGTTCAGACCAGTTCAGACCAGTATAAACCAGTACAGACCAGTATAAACCAGATCAGACCAGTATAAACCAGTATGGACCAGTTCAGACCACTATAAACCAGCACGGACCAGATCAGACCAGTATAAACCAGTACAGACCAGTTCAGACCAGTATAAACCAGTTCAGACCACTATAAACCAGTTCAGACCAGTATAAACCAGTTCAGACCAGTATAAACCAGCACGGAACAGTTCAGACCAGTATAAACCAGTACAGACCAGTTCAGACCAGTATAAACCAGTTCAGACCACTATAAACCAGTTCAGACCAGTATAAACCAGCACGGACCAGTTCAGACCAGTATAAACCAGCACGGACCAGTTCAGACCAGTATAAACCAGCACGGACCAGTTCAGACCAGTATAAACCAGTACGGACCAGTATAAACCGGTTCCGACCAGTATAAACCAGCACGGACCAGTTCAGATCACTATAAACCAGTACAGGCCAGATCAGACCAGTATAAACCAGTACAGACCAGTATAAACCAGTACAGACCAGTATAAACCAGCACGGACCAGTTCAGACCAGTATAAACCAGTTCCCACCGGTTCCAACCAGTATAAACCAGTACCGACCGCTTCCAACTGGTTCCGACCAGTTCAGACCAGTATAAAACAGTACAGACCAGTATAAACCAGTACAGGCCAGTTCAGACCAGTATAAACCAGTACAGACCAGTATAAACCAGTACAGACCGGTTCCAGCCAGTACAGACCACTATAAACCAGTACAGACCAGTATAAACCGGTTCCGACCGCTTCCAACCAGTTCTGACCAGCATGGACCAGTTCAGACCAGTATAAACCAGGTCTGACCGGTTCTGACCAGTATAAACCAGTACGGACCGGTTCTGACCAGTACGGACCAGTATAAACCAGTTCCAACCAGTACGGACCAGTTCAGACCAGTATAAACCGGTTCTGACTGATCCAAAACCGGTTCTAACCGGTTCTGACTGCCTAAAACCGGTTCAAAGTGGCTCAAACTGGTTTTAACTGGTTCTGATTGATGTAAAACCGGTTCTAACTGGTTCTGATTGGGATCAAACCGGTTCTAACTGGTCCGAACTGGTTCTGACTGGGATCAAACCGGTTCTAAGTGTCTCAAACTGGTTCTGACTGGTTCTGATCGATATAAAACCAGTTCTAACCGGTTCTAAGTGGTTCAGATCGATGCAGAACTGGTTCTGACCGGTTCTGACTGCTGTAGAACCGGATCAAACCAGTTCTAACCGGTTCCGACTGCTATCAAACTGGTTTTAACAAGTTCTAACTGGTTCTGACTGATGTAAAACCGGTTCTAACTGGTTCTGATTGATATAAAGCTGGTTCTGGCCGGTTCTAACCAGTTCTGACTGCTGCAAAACCGGTTCTAACCAGTTCTAAGTGGTTCTAACTGGTCCTGACTAATATAAAACCAGTTCTAACTGATATAAAACTGGTTCTAACCAGTTCTGACCGGTCCTGACTGCTGTAAAACCGGTTCTAACCAGTTCAGACTGATATAAAGCCGCTTCTAACCGGTTCTAACCGGTTCTGACTGCTTTAAAACCGGTTCTAACCAGTTCAGACTGATATAAAGCCGCTTCTAACCGGTTCTAGCCGGTCCTGACTGCTGTAAAACCGGTTCTAACCGGTCCTGATTGCCATAAAACCGGTTCTAACCGGTTCTGACTGATAAAAAACCAGTTCTAACTGGTCCTGACTGCCGTAAAACCGGTTCTAACTGGTCCTGACTGCCGTAAAACCGGTTCTAACCGGTTCTAACTGGTTCTAACTGGTTCTAACTGGTTCTGACTGCTGTAAAACCGGTTCTAACCGGTTCTAACTGGTCCTGACTGCTGTAAAACCGGTTCTGACCGGTTCTGACTGCCATAAAACCGGTTCTGACCAGTTCTGACTGCCATAAAACCGGTTCTAACTGGGTCTGACCGGTCCTGACTGCCATAAAACCGGTTCTAACCGGTTCTGACCGGTCCTGACTGCCGTAAAACCGGTTCTGATCGGTTCTGACTGGTTCTGACTGCCATAAAACCGGTTCTAACTGGGTCTGACCGGCTCTGACTGCCGTAAAACCGGTTCTAACCGGTTCTAACTGGTCCTGACTGCCGTAAAACTGGTTCTGACCGGTCCTGACTGCCGTAAAACCGGTTCTAACCGGTTCTAACCAGTCCTGATTGCCGTAAAACCAGTTCTAACTGGTTCTAACTGGTCCTGACTGCCGTAAAACCGGTTCTGACCGGTCCTGATTGCCGTAAAACCGGCTCTAACCAGTTCTGACTGATAAAAAACCAGTTCTAACTGGTCCTGACTGCCGTAAAACCGGTTCTAACCGGTTCTGACCGGTCCTGATTGCCGTAAAACCAGTTCTAACTGGTTCTAACTTGTCCTGACTGCCGTAAGACCGGTTCTGACCGGTTCTGACTGCCGTAAAACCGGTTCTGACCGGTTCTAACTGGTTCTAACTGGTACTGACTGCTGTAAAACCGGTTCTAACCGGTTCTAACTGGTCCTGATTGCCGTAAAACCAGTTCTAACTGGTTCTAACTGGTTCTGACTGCCATAAAACCCGTTCTAACCGGTTCTGACCGGTCCTGACTGCCATAAAACCGGTTCTGACCAGTTCTGACCGGTCCTGACTGCCATAAAACCGGTTCTAACCAGTTCTAACCGGTCCTGACTGCTGTAAAACGGGTTCTAACTGGTTCTGACTGGTTCTGACCGGTCCTGACTGCTGTAAAACCGGTAGTAACCGGTTCTAACCGGTTCTAACCAGTCCTGATTGCCCTAAAACCAGTTCTAACTGGTTCTAACTGGTCCTGACTGCTGTAAAACCGGTTCTGACCGGTCCTGACTGCCATAAAACCGGTTCTAACTGGTTCTGACCGGTCCTGACTGCCATAAAACCGGTTCTGACCGGTTCTGACTGCCATAAAACCGGTTCTAACCAGTTCTAACCGGTCCTGACTGTTGTAAAACGGGTTCTAACTGGGTTTGATCGGTTCTGGCTGCCGTAAAACCGGTTCAAACCGGTTCTAACTGGTCCTGACTGCCGTAAAACCGGTTCTAACCGGTTCTAACCGGTCCTGACTGCTGTAAAACCGGTTCTAACCGGTTCTAACCGGTTCTAACTGTTCCTGACTGCCGTAAAACCGGTTCTAACCAGTTCTGACTGCTGTAAAACCGGTTCTAACCAGTTCTAACTGCTGTAAAATCGGTTCTGACCGGTTCTAACCAGTTCTAACTGCCGTAAAACCGGTTCTGACCGGTTCTGACTGCCGTAAAACCGGTTCTAACCAGTTCTAACTGCTGTAAAACCGGTTCTAACCGGTTCTAACTGGTCCTGACTGCCGTAAAACCGGTTCTAACCAGTTCTAACTGCTGTAAAACTGGTTCTAACCGGTTCTAACCGGTTCTGACTGGTCCTGACTGCCGTAAAACCGGTTCTGACCGGTCCCGACTGTCGTAAAACCGGTTCTAACCAGTTCTAACTGCTGTAAAACCGGTTCTAACCGGTTCTAACCAGTTCTAACTGCTGTAAAACCGGTTCTGACCGGTTCTAACCAGTTCTAACTGCTGTAAAACCGGTTCTGACCGGTCCTGGCTGCCGTAAGACCGGCTCTGACCGGCTCTAACCGGCTCTGCCCGGCTCCAGGCCAACTGCATCGACTCGACGGCGCCGGCCGAGGCCGTGTTCGCGGGCGAGGTGAGGAAGATGGCGGCCGAGCGGATGAAGCCGCAGGAGCAGCTGACGCTGGAGCCCTACGAGAGGGACCACGCCGTGGTGGTCGGCGTCTACCGGTGACCGGGACACGCTGGGTTATACTGGGTTGTACTGGGAGGGACTGGGTGATACTGGGAGGGACGGGGAGGGGAAA